GACTTACACATTAACTTATGTCATTTTTAGGAAAACATAGGAGAAAGACCTTGACACTTGGGACTATAAAATGTTCTCAGGCTTGAAACTCAAAGCATGATTCACAACAAGGAAAAGTTGATAAATTTGACCCCAGAAAAATTAAATATCTTTGCTCTTTGAAAGACTCTGGTAAGAAGATGGGAAGAAGACCAGTAGAAAATATTTGAAAATCACATAGCCAACAGAGCACTTTTATCCAAGATATATATATATATTAAAAAAAAAACCTCTTAAAACACAACAATGAAAAAAATCTTAATTAGAAATGCGCAAAATGCATGTGTATGCATTTTACCAAAGAGTCTGTAGAGAGTTGTACGCACAAATGTACATCGTAGCTTTATTCTTAGTAAGTAAAATTTGAAAATCACCCAAACATCCTTCAAAGGGTGACTGTCTAAACAGCCTCCTCTATAGACGGGAAGATGACCCAGCAGGAAGAAGCAACTAAGTGCAGACCATTATGCTGAGTGAAGAAAGCCAGTCTCAAACTTGTACACACTTCACAATTCCGTTATATAATATTTGTATAACAACATAATTATAGAGATGGAGAACAGATGGGCGGTTGCTAGGGATTGGGGCTGGGAAGGGAGAGAAAGGGCAGAGTCATGAGGGTGCCATGTGCGAATCTTGTGGTGGTGTCTCCGTTAAGTATCTGGACTGTGGTGCTGCTGATACCAAGCTCTATACGCACGAGATAACTACATATTCTTGGGAACAACTCAGTCACTGTCAGAACCGGATGATGTGTCATCTTAGCAGAGGCCATTGCATGGTTCTGAGGAGCCTGGGCTCCTCCTGTTGGAAAGCCCACGTACTCTAACTATAGATGTTCACCAAACTTTCTGCTTCTCCTTTCCAAACTTCTTTTCTGCAGACTCCACCACCTGAGTAGACTGCATTTCCCACCCACCCTCACAGAGGCCAACAGGATGTAGATGAACAGTTCCATTGTTTCCATAAGCCCTTACCCTTCTCAGTAAACCTTAACCCATGTAGAGTAGTTCCCCTTTTCCAAGACACGTATTTCCAAGACCTCTCATGGATACCTGAAACTGCAGATGTACCCTACGTACACTATGATTTTCCTATACATAATGTCCATAATAAAATTCAATTTATGAATGACGTACAGGAAGAAATTAACAATAACTTAAAAAAAGAGAAAAATCATAACAATATACTGTTAAAAAACCATGTGAATATAACCTTTCAAAATATCTTATTATACTTTCACCTTTCTACTTAAAGCACTTCATGGCTTCTCTCTAGTACATTTGAATCACCAGCATCACTACTCTTACAACTGGGACCATTAATAAGTGAAATGAGGCTGACTTGAACACAAGCACTGCAATACCACATTGGTTAATCCAACAGCCTAGGCAATTAAGTGGTAATGGGAAGGTGGTGTATACAGGGTGGATATGCTGGAAAATAATGTGATTCATGTCCATGGCAAGATTAAGCAGGAGCTGTGCACTACTCAAAACAGGCACAATTTAAAACAGGATTTAATTTTTTTTTTCATTGAATACTTTCAGACTGCTGACAGCTGTCATCAGCTGAAACTGTGGAAAGGGAACCCATGGCTAAGGCAGGGCTACTGTGGAAGAGGAAGAATACAAGCTGAGAGGACCTGAGTCTGCTTGTCTGAGAGGATTTAGTTTGGGAGCTTGTGCTATAAGCCACTGTCCTGACAGTGCCCAGCAGTCCCCTAACCACACCCTAGAGGTTAACAGCTCTTATTCATACCATCAGCATCCCCAGTCTCAAGGTTCTTCCTGGGCAGCCATACTGGAGGAAGGGCTGGATGGCAGGCTGAGATGCCCAGAAAACCCCTTAGAGAGAACCCCAAACACTCTAAGCATCCAAGGAAAGGACCCTACATTTGGGGACCTTAAACCCACAAAATCCTATTCTAGTGAGCCCAGAGAGTCCACTAGGCCTGCAAAATCAAAATGTACTTGAGATCCCACAATAAACCTGGGGATTAGTGAGTACTCAACCATTTGCTCATCTCACTCATTCATCCTTTTATTCATGTAAAAAAATATTGAGTAGGGGCTAGAGAGATGACTCAATGGTTAAAAGCACTGGCTGCTCTTGCAGAGGACCCAGGTTCAATTCCCAGCACCCACATGATAGCTAACAACTGTCTGTGATTCTAGTTCCTCCAGGGAAATCTGACCCCCTCTTCTGACCTCTGCTGGGCATTGCATGACACCAGTGCACTTACACACATGTAGACAAAACACTTATACACATAAAATAAAAATAATAAAAAATATTGAGTTAATCAGTTTATGCTACAAGCACACAGATGGTTATGGAACTCACAAGCAAGAAAAGTGCAGATGTGAGCCAGCCAGTGGCACCTGTGCTGTGGGGAGCAAAGTGGGTTGAGGTGGTAAGGGAAGTGAGTGTCTCTGTTTTTCTGGAGTGGTGGGAGAGGACCTCTCCCAGGAAGGCTACATTGACTGGAGACAAGTCCTAAAGGCACCTGGGGAAGAGGTCGCCAGGAAAAAACATAGCAAAAGCCCTGCAGAGGACTGTACCTGAAGGGTGAGAACTAAGGCACTGGCAGATGGGGAAAGGGAGTGGGCAGTGAAGAACTTGAAGCTGGGCTGAGAGGTCACAGCCAGCAGACCTCAGAGTGTCGCCCTGGCCTCAATGTGTCTCATGGGCACACTGCTCCTTTGGGGCCGGCTCTCGTGGAAGCAGCCACTTGGGGGGCTCTAGAGGCTCCAGGGGCAATAGGGTAGGGACTTGGCCATCCACTTTCCTCAAGCTTGATGTTCAGAGGTTTCTCCATTTCTCCAAGGACTTTCATTACATGTACAAGCTCAGAGACAACTGCTTCTGAGAATTTACAAACTTGGGTACTTGTTCATTCATTTGCTCTACAAATATTTTGTGCACCTGCTCTGTGTCAGCCATGTTCTGGGGCTCCAGAGACCCAGACAGGACCTCCTCTCTAACTTGAAAGAGTTGACAGTTTAGACATGTCTGCAGTTACTAGCATGTGTTAAGAGGACTGTAATGGGAGACTGTGGATGCCCAGAAGAGGTACTGGAGGAGGGGCAAGCTAGTCCTTGGTCCAGAAAGACTCAATGGAGAAGGGGGCTGGGATTGTGCCATCTCGCCCTGCAGAGGCCACAACAGGAAAAGATCAGAATGTAAGCAGAAGCCAGATGTGGTGTTGAACATCTGTAATCCTTGCACTTGGGAGGTGGAAGCAAGAGGATCAAGAGGTCAAAGTCATCCTTGGCTACATAGTGAGTTCAAATCCAGCTATATGAGTCTCTCTCTTCTCTCTCTCTCTCTCTCTCTCTCTCTCTCTCTCACACACACACACACACACACACACACACACACACACACAAATCAAAGTTTAAGAGGCCTGAGATGCTTATGAGGGCCCTGAGAGGTTGGCGATCTTGGGGTGAAAAGGAGGAGATGGAGCAGGGAGAACACAGAGATCAGAGACGTCAGGACCAGAGGGCTCTGTTGAGAAGCCTGTCTCAGCTCTGTCCTGAGACCTAGATATCCCCAGTCCTCAGGTCTCCATGCCCTCACCTGTGAAATGGAACTATTGGAGGGGACAGCTGGGACACATCCCCAAGATCTCTGGGGTATTGCTGACCCATGTTTGCGGAGCCCCACAGCAAGAATACCTTGTCACACTGTGCTTCCTCCCCCTGAATCCCCTCAAGGGGCCCTCATTATATGCATATGTTTTGCATGCACATGTGTACTTGTGGCTGGCCAGCAGCAGGCATGTGCCCATGAGCAGGGGGTTTTAGGGACAGCCAGCCCAGGGACCTCTTTCACATCGAGTCACAGTCCTAACAAAAAGGAAGCATGATGTCCTCTGGGCCTTTAAGGCTCCCACCATTGTGATGAGTCTGTGCCTAGAGAAGTGCTGGGAGGTTGCTGATTAGCTATATAGTTTTGGCAAATCACTTGGCCTCACTGAGCTTCTGGTCCCCTTTGAAAAGTGCACTGAGATCAAAATAGAGAGTGCTCTGAGGCTTGGGGTCCATGTAAAGTGCTTAGCAGAGGGCCAAACTCGGGTTGTGGGTGTGAGACATGCTCACTGGCAGTGTCACTCTGATTGGGGCTTACAGAAGACAGGAGGGGGCTGTGCAGCTGGAGGAGTGATTTGGCCTTGAAATGGTTAAAATCACTCCAATTCTGAAGATAAGGCTGAAAGAGACACAGTCCAGGTCTCCAGCCCTGTCATAAGTCAATTTATGAGGTGCTGGACACTGGGTCAAAGAGAAGGGGCTCCCCCGTAGGCTACAGCAGGAAACACTCAGGGCCAGAGAGCAGAAAGTGTTTGGGACATCTAGAAAGAAAGAAAAGGACAGCCGGGCTGGGGCGCCAACTCCCATCCTGCAGGAGAAAAGATGGCCAAGGCCAGAGCCCAGGGAGCCCAGGCCCAGCCAGGTGGGGACAGTACGCCAGAGAGTTCCCCAGCCGCTGGCAAGAGAGGGGGGTGGGGTGTCAGGGGACATGCAGACGGGACTGAAAAAGGAGGTCCTCGGGGCAGAAGGAAGAGGGAAATCAGAGGTGGCAGAAGGAGGATGTTGCTGGGGTGGGGGTGGGGGGTCTGTCCAGGTCCGTGTGCTGCGTGTGTGTTCGCGTGTACCTGCAGCAGGTCTGTACACGTGCACGGGGCGGCGGGGGGGGGGGGGGGGGGGGGGGCATCTCCAAAAGGGAGGTGACTGTGCTTCTGACTGGTCTGGCAAGGGTTAAGTGCCGCCCCATTGCCGGCTCCTCCCTGACTGGCCGCCGACGCCCTCACTCCGGGCTCACTGCGGGTCCCAGGCGGCAGCAGCGACCCGCGCCTTGCGAATGCGCGCTGTGTGCCCCACGCCGTCCCCGCGCGCCACCGCCACCACCACCGGGCCGTCGGACTGCCCGGGCGCCTGGAGCACCGGGCTGCCCAGATGCGGGCGCCACTCTGCTTGCTGCTGCTCGTCGCCCACGCAGTGGACATGCTTGCCCTGCACCGAAGGAAGAAGCAAGGTACAGATGTGGCTGAGCGGGTGGCCCGGCAGGCGCTGTATAGAATACCCCGGGTGGCCCTGGGCGCATCTGCCTGGTGCCCGACGTCTGGGCTATTGGTTCAGGGTCAGCGCCACTTACAGATGGAAATCCCAAAGCTGGGGCACCAAGCAGGGGGGCCATTGAGCAAGCTTGACCCAGGAGGCACCGCGAAAAAGGAAGGGGCTAGTGGTGTGGCTAGCTATTCCCATCCCCCGCCAGGAGGGTAACTCTGCAGACACAAAAATCCCAAAGAGCCAGCCTGGGCACTCAGAGACAGAGTTGTAGCTTAGAAGCCAGCGCGAAGCATCCACATTGAGCCAGGAGGTAGAAGTGGTGGCCCCAGAGCCCAAGTGCTGCTGGTGGGTCGCTGACCAGACCCCCTGCTGTCACCTCCCAGAAGGCAGTGATTGTGGTGGGCATTCTCTGGTGAGCCCAGCCTGACCTGAGACCTGTGTTCAAGTTCACTTCTGGGGATGACCCAGAAGTTTATCCTCTCCAGGAGCCTCTGTTTTTTTTTCCTTTGAGACCTCCTAGGGCCACTAGGAAAACTGAACCAAAGTTGAAACTCTTGCAGGACCCTGTAACCTCTGTCCTTGGGGATCAGTCCCTTGATGCCACAGTCAGATCTCCTTGGGAGGTAAGTTTGAAACTGCCCTTGCAGAGCAAGAGTTGTCAGAGCCTGTCGGCACAAAGAGGGTGTGCAGACCAGCAAGTCCAGTGCTAAAACGGCGTAGGCCCTGGGTCTCCAGATGCCAGTTTGTGAATCAATAGCCAAAGGCTGGGCCACTGTGCCAGGAGTTTGCCACACACTAACCACCTGGAATCCCTACAACAAGCATCCTTATGACAGTGGCCGGCTCACTCCATAGAACCCAGGGTTTGTGCAGGTATAGCAAGCTGAAGTTCTGGTTTTTGTCTTTCTGACTGAGGGCAGAGTTCAAGAAGGCTGAATCGGGGAGAGTGACAGTGGTCTTGCCCTGGAGAGGGGAAGGGAGCACAGAGGCAGCTGTGGGAGAGCTGGAATGGGGTAGAATGGCAAACCATGGCCTATGGGTTCAACTCCTGCTAGAGACAGGTGGACCTCAGGTGAGTTGCAGCAATTGGGGCCCTGTGAGTGTGTTCCTCTGTGCTATCCAGAACTCAGGGGCTGGATCCAACCTACTTTGCTGCAAGTCCCTGTTTCCAGAGGTTCCAGCCAAGCAGCCTTGGGCAAGTCACTCAAAGCCTCAGTTTACCTATGTCAGAGTCCTTTAGACATTCTCTGAGACCCTTCTCCATTCTAAAAATGATTTTTATAACCCCTTTCCTTCCACTAACTTGTCATTAAGATGGGAAAAATCATCTTCAGTCTCCATCTCATCAGAAGGACCATGGGTAGATAAAGGAAGTGTCAGATGGCTGGCTGGATACAGGCTCATATTAGTCATTACTGTCTCTTGTCTGTTGTGTCCTTAGCTGCTCACAAGAGCCCACTGAAGGGAGGGAGAGGTGCTTGTTTTCTAGATGCAAAGACAAGCTCACAGAAGGGAATTAACTTGTCCACGGTTGTACAGCAGGTGAACAGCAAAGCAGGCTCAAATCTGACAGGATGCTAAGATGTCTCCTGAACTTTCTCAGGGCCTCAGTTTACCTATCTGGAAGGGAGCTGGATTTCTAAGATGCTTCTCACTGACAAGAGGGGGAGGGAAAATGCAAATTGCCTGCCTTTGTCCTCTGCCCAGCTCACCAGCACCTCCAAGGAACTTAGGAGTCAGGGAGCTGCTCCTTACACTGGCCCCATTTGGTGAAGAGTTCCTGGTACTCAACCCCAGCAGATGCTCTTGAGTCTGGGGAGTCCACACCTACCCAGCATCTTCAGAGAGGTAGTTAGTGACTGCATTTGTGAGATGCAAAGGAGATAGATAACCTTGGCTTTCAGTCTCCTGACCCACTTGTTACTTCGAATGAAAGGATTTCTCCTCTGCCCCTGCCATAGCCTCAGTTTCCCCATTGGTACTGAGGTGGAGGAGAGACATTAGCTTCTGAGAGTCTGTTCTGCAGGGCAGCCACAACTGTTCTGGCCAAATAGGATGGGCAGGGGGATGTTGAGCTCGGCAGAGTTCTTGGCTGTGGGACTTCCAAGAGCCCAGGAAGAGGTGGTGTAGAGGGGCTGACCTTTCTCAAACTTAGTATACACACACACACACACACACACACACACACACACATATCACTACCAATTCTCATAAAGCATGGGATGGAAGGTTGTGTACACAATCCCTGGGATCCTACATGCTTTGATTTTCTGATCTGACTTTGGTGAAGAAATGTGTCCTGGAGATACCTGGATATTAGCAGTGCCTAGTTTGCTCATTCATTCACTCACTCAGTTCATTCATTCTTTCATTCATCCATTCGTCTGTTCAGAAAGTGTTCAGGAAAGCCTCCCTGCCAGACTGTGTTGGGAATTAGGGGACACTGAGCTGAGTTGATCAAACCAGCAGGGGGGCCCACCCCTCTCACCCCTCCCTGCGCCCCTCAGTCTCCCTTCCATATCCTGCTCTTCACCTCAGCCTTTGGCTCAGTGTCTGGCCATGAGAAAGGACCTGCCTGTCCCAGCCACGCCTGGTCTGAGCGGCTTCCCTTGGGGTCTGGACCTGGGCTCCTCTGGCTCTGGTGTCACTTTTTTTTTTTTTAATGAAATCTAATTTTTCTGTTTCTACAAGAAAGAATGAAAGAAAAGGGCTGAAAAGGGTTTTTGGATCTCAAGTGTGTCTTATAAAACATTTTGATTAATTAAGTATAAATGAATAAGAACCAGATGGGGACATTTCTCCTGAAACATGCTGGGGTCCCTGACAGTGGGGCAGACTGAGGGGACTCTGAATTGTGTTCCCTGTCCACAGATCCAGGGTATCATGTAGGGATGAAGTGAGACCTGGTGTGGAATCTTGAGCCCTCTCCTACCCTAGGCTCAAGATGCTTTTTCTGATGCAGGGTTCCCTCATCTATGAAGTCGGAGCCCTGAACCTGCCTCTTCAGGCAGCAGAGAAAATTTGTCAGCATCCCAGATGGAAGGTGACCTCGTGAGGCAGAGAGAGCTAAGCAGAGGGCACCTTCTGAGGATCAACTCTCTCCTCCCCCCTCTTGCTTGCCCTCTCTGAGCCCCTTTGATTTACCATGAAATGACATAGGTGGTACCCACTCCAGTGGACTGTTAGGTCTGTACAGGGAATACCATGTACAAAGTCCAGATGACAGCACTGTCCCTGGACACAGACCCAGAGGAGAAGCTAACACCTAGGCAGGCAGGTAACAGAACACAGGAAGACCACCCAGGTCTCCTGTCCCTTAGGTTGGAACAGTGGCTGGGTGAAGGACAAAGTATGTCCCTAGAGTGCTGGCATGCAGGTAGATCCAGGGTCAGATAGACATCTGGGCAGTTTTGAAAGGGAAACCAATTCCTTTGGAGCAGAGTGAAGATGGGAGCTGAGGAGTGCTGTGGATGACTCCTTCTGCCCCTGTACCTGGGTCTCTTGGTCAAAGCAGTGACTGGTTGAGAGTGGAAAGTAGAAATGTAAACACAAGGCTGTAAAGTGGCAGCCAGAGTTTTTGAATGAAATGACATGGAACAGAACAGGATGAAAGGGAACAGAGTAGGAAGGAAGAAAGCAGAGTGGGGCTAAGAATGTTTCTGTAAGGGACCAGCATAAATATTTTAGGCTTTGTGGACCACATAGGATTGGCCACATGTCACAGGCTGTGGCATGCCAACCTCTGTTAGAAAATGTCAAAGTGCTTTTCAAGTGTTAAGAAGTAAGTGTGCTGCAGTTTGCCTATGTGTAGAACTGTATGTACAGGTCCATGGGTGTGTAAGTATGTGTGTGTATATGTGCATGTAAGTGTGGATGTGTGTACAGTATATGCACACTGATATGAAAATGTATTTCTTTTTTGTTTTTTTTTTTGTGTGTGTGTGTGTGTTTGTGGTGTTTGTGCCTGTGTGGTATGCATGCTCATGTGCATGCATGCTCACATGTATGTGCATGAGTGTGGAGACCTGATGTATCTTGCTTGATTGTTTTCACTTTTATGGAGGCACAGGCTCTTGCTGAACCCGAGGCTCACTGATTCTGACTAGTCTAGCTACTTATCTTGCCCAGGGGTGGGGGGGGGGATCCCCTGCCCCTGCCTCTCAAGTGCTGGGATTACAGGTGGGCCATCACACCTGGCCTGCTTTTAAGTGGGTGCTGGAGATCCAAATCCTGGTCCTCACGCTTGCACAACAGGTGCTTCATCCAGCCAGCCATCTCCCCAGCTTCTGAAAATGTATTTCTTCCCATTGTCATAGTGTAGATGTCGCTCCTTCGGTTGTTCCCACCTGTGGCATTCTACCCTTTCCAAGCAGACCTAACACAGAGCAGATGTAGGATGCAGGGCTTTATGAAGATAGAAGGGTCCTATTTTCCTGAGGGGAGACCAGCACCTAGTGGGCCACCTGAGAGTCAGGTGGTGAGCCTAGGGAATCTGACTTGAAGCTCTACCCTCTCCAGGGGAGCATGCCCTGTGAGCAGCTCCTGCTGCCTTTTGAAAGCCTGATTCTAGTTGCCCTGAGCCTGGTGCTGTACCCTTCCTAGCATGCTTGAATGTTGGAATGATCCATTGGGGCTGAGGGTCTTCCTGCATCAGACACCCCCAAGCCATGAGTGTGGCAGACATCACATATTCTACTCACCTTGACTGTCCTAGTTTGTTTCTCCATTGCTGTGACAAAATACTCTGACCAATACCAACTTGGGGAGGAAAGGGTTTATTTTATCTTACATCTCCTGGGTCACAGTTCATCAGGGAGCCCAAGGTAGGAACTCAGGGCAGGAACCTGGAGGCAGGAGCTGCAGCACAGGCCATGGAGGAACACTGCTTACTGGCTTGCTCCCCTGACCCCTGCTCAGCCTGCTTTCTTATGCAACACAGGCCCACCTGCCCAGGGGTGGCCCCAC